GTTTGGCTACTTCTTCCAAAATTGCTGTGGTTTTATTCATGGCATAGGAAAATGGTGCATCATGAGACATGTAATGCACCACAGAGGGAGGCCCATAATGAATAGAGATGTAACACAAACACTCCCAGGGACGATTGTAGCAACACATCCAAATAGAAACATTTTGGCCCATAGATTTCTTGTTCTTCCTCAGCCCTAATAATTTCCAAGTTCCTCTTGCTGGGACAGGATACAGGGCTAAGCAAAATGCATTGATGTCTCTTCACAAAGAAGGAAAATGGCAATATAGGGAAGCACGTCTCATATCACAATGAATCCTTCCCAGTCTTGCAAAACCAGTAGTTGATAGTACTCCATCTCCTTCCCTCTTAGGTGGGCTCATACTGCTTACATTAAGAGGCAACAAACCCGATGGTCATTCTTGTCCTTACAGAAAGCACTTCATCTCCTTTGGATCATTGAAAAGGTGGCAGAACTGATGTGCTTTCAGATTCTTTGGACTGTTTTGAAGGCTAGGATATCTTAAAGGGTTATTGTAAACAGTTTCACAAAGGAATTAACATGATGTGGTTCAGGCAGCTTAACTCGGTCACCCCCAGGAGACTCCTACCAGTCTGTTGTATTTATATACAAATATACTATGTTTATAGTTCAAGCTGAATAGTCTCAATGTATAAGGTACTGACCAACTGGAAGACAAGGAGAAAAAAAAAGAAAAAGGCAACTACATAACTTCACCAAGAATGAGTGAAACATCTCTGAAACTGTTAAAAGAAACTATCTTCTTAGGACTCATCCACAGGCACTGTAATGGTACAAAGTCCCAAACCATATGACTAGGCATAATAGGCCTCCCAGACTCCCAGAGCGAATCCCACAATGAACCAAGCGTTTGGTAAATACTATAAGATGACTCAGTCCTAGTTGAAACTTGTAGGTCCTCTTTGAACTAGCATTTCCCAACTTCTCTGTTCATGTTGACGCTTTTGGGCTTATGAAGCTCCAAGACTGACTGTCCTAAATGCCTTGCACAAAACGGTTGCCCATTGTCAGTGGTATCATCTGTGACGAATACATTTCTGCTGAGAGTGTTATGTCTTTGTACCAAAATAAGTTTGGTACTTTACTGCTTCTCTGAGTGCCCTCCATCTCATTCTCCTCTAGAAAGAGTGTGCAGCAGAAATATTCAGTCCTTCATCTGAAAGCTGAATTCAGATCTCCTAAACTAAGATGTTCTTTCCACTCTAGACTTTTCTTCTGGGGGGGTGGGTTTTTTTCTTTTTTTTTTTGGTGTTTTTTTTTTCCTTTCCTTTTCATTCTGGTCATGTTGGAACATGCCTGGGATTTATGCCATGTACTTGATGGAGTGGTAACTTGTTTGTCTCATGTCTTTATTCTTTACATGTCTCCCTCAACAGCTGAAGTTCCTGTCTCACAAAACACCAGCCTATGCTGTTCTCGATGAGCAAAAATACTCCTTAGCAAAGGGATTCATTTTAGTTGCGGTGCATCAGATTTTGAGTTTGGAGCTTTCTCACAGAGGCTCTGTTCTTTCTGAATCCCATAAAATTATTTATATACAGCTATGCACTTGAGTCTATGTGAGATTATGTTTCCAATCGGTCCAAGAAATTTCTCCCTTGTATGCAAGAAAGGTTGCTGCAACAGATGCACAGCCTTCTAGGAGGTAGAAGTGCAATTGTTGGCCTTCCTGGAAGGCAGAAACACAGGCAAACTTTCGGGTGGTTGACCGCCATGGGACGCACAGCACACAGCGTGACATGAGGAGCGGAGAGCTTGCCTAGGGAGTCGTTTGCAGTGGCTACTCCCATCACTGTATTTCAGGCGAAGATTAAGCACAGCTGGGCTGCACATGGAGCGGGGACACGTGTTGGTTTCAGCCCGCGTGTGCTCTCCCACAGCTGGGGACCAGCATTGCCCTGCAGTACCTGCTGCGGGGAGGACGGTATGGCTGGGCATGCCAGCCACAGCTGCCCATCGCCGAGTCGGGGGTGAGGGCAGGAGTGACAGAGGTAGGCTGCTGGGCCGTAGAAAGCCCTCGTTTTTTTTCTTTAACATCCTACTCTCCCTAGCTGAGTTCCTAGCAAGTGTTTGGGGTGGGTTTTTCAAACCCTGCAAGCCACACAGCAGGAAAAAAAGTACTTGGTTGTATGTCTTTGCTGGCAGTCTGTAGGCCTGTAGCGCGAGGCAGACATTAACCTTGCACCATAACCTTTTGCCGTTTTACAGAAGGAAGATTGCTTCTCCCCCACCCCCTGAAGAGGTAACTCTCAAAAAGAAAATAGAGGATGTTAAAAGCAGACACTTGTGTCAGAGCCTGCCTGCCTTGGCGCACGATGAAGTTGTTTAATATCAGTGTTTAGAAATTAAGCTTTGATTACAGAAAACTATATTTTTAGACTCATTCACATTTCTTTTAAAAAACCTAGGATTGTCATTTGATGAGTCTGACCACAGAAGGCAATATTTTCTTAGACCTTCACTGATTTTTGAGAATTGATGGGTATGTGCGGTCATCTTAAATCAGGACCAAAACTTTTTCACAAGGAGAAGCATTAATGACCTGTATCTGATGGGATTAGAGCCTAATTAACATTGCCCGATTACTTGTCAGTCATCTGTGCTGCTGGTACTCATTTCAGCTTCAGATAATTAGCCCACCTCTTAATGAAAATGCATATTTTTTTCATTTTAACTGAACCTCCTGTCCCCAAAACTTCAGGTTTTAGAAACTTTCTCTGTAGTGCTGTCAGCCTTGATGCTTTTGCCTCTGCAGTTTCCTATGCTATTTGCATATGTTGACAAAGATGTAATTTGCTCAGAATTATCTGTACATGCAGTAGTTGTCTTGTGTGTGTTGTGATATATTTAGGAAAACAGGCTTTTTCATACCTAAAATCATAGTGTGGTGCAGGGAAAACTGCTCAACTCACGGTTTAACTCAAACCAGGATTAAAACGGTTTTGTCTTTTTAATAAGGACATGTAACGACCTGGCAATCAGTGAGCTGTATGCTGAGGATCAGTATCAGCAAAACAACACATAAACCACAACAGTAGGTATTTGCAAAATGTTAGCAAACAGCTATAAACTTCTAAAGACCCTTCTATGACTAATCCTAAAGAGTCCTAGCCTCACACACGCGCGGCTGTGGGCACGCCTCTCCCCAGGCTGTGCGTGTTACACGTCTTGAGCAAACTTCATCGTTATTATTGTTATTTTAGTAGCCCTTTGGGGGCAAGCATCCTCTCAGGGCTGGCAGTTTCGGTATTAACCTGTTAACGTACGCGGTTTACCCTCACTCCCATTTGGCAGGATCTCTTGTTATCCAGCCCCTTCCCCTGAGCAGAGGCGGTGTGGACTCCCCCGTGGCAGTGAAAACCTTGATTCCCAATTCTCTTGTTAGGGCGAGCTGCCCTCGGGAGAGACCCTTAGCCCATTAATGGGGTCCCTTCCGCCACTGAGCACAGTCCACCATTCCAGGTACGTAAAATCCCGTTAGACAACATTGGTAACGGTAGGCGAGTCCTTATCAGGGTTCGTAACAACAGCCCTAACGTTCTTGCTGAACGGGCTTCTGATATGTTGCTTCTGATTTCCTGACAATCCTCATGGTCTTGAGAGTTAAACAGTCTGTCTTTTGGGGTGAAAGAAGCAGCAGCTGGGTTTTTTTTAAGAAAGCCAAATTAAATAGAAACATCTCCTCTCAAAGCACCAGCCCTATAGCATACCCGAAGAACTAGTTTGGGGATGTTAAACAGTCGGGTTTTTTCCTTCGAGGTGCTGACAAAGGCCAGCGGCGATTCCCCGGCGTGGAGTGTTTTTGGGCAGACTATATCTGCGAAGGAGAAAACAGCTCGAACTCCAGAGGAGCCAGGAAGGACAGGTACACGGGCTGCCTGCGCGGCTTCCTCGCACCCACGGTGACTTTCTGACAACCGCCGAGAGCCGCTCGGGGTTGGAGGGAGCCCCGAAGGACCCCGACCCTGGGCAGGACACCCGGCCCAACACCTCCCAGTCCCGCCGCGGGTGCTCCCCCGCACAGCCTCCCACCTCTCCTTCCCCTTCACGGCCGCCTTCGGGGCTCGGCCCTGCGGCCAGGGGAGGGCCCGGTAAACCCTCCCCGTCGGGGTAGGGCCGGGGGGCGAGCTGAGGTGGGAGCCGGAGGACGGCGGGGCCGGGGCAGAGCCCTGTGAGGAGAAAAGGGCGGAAAGGCCGGGCCGGGGCAGAGCCCTGTGAGGAGAAAAGGGCGCGAAGGCCGGGCCGGGGCAGAGCCCTGTGAGGAGAAAAGGGCGGAAAGGCCGGGCCGGGGCAGAGCCCTGTGAGGAGAAGGGCGGGCGGCGGGACACCGGGGGAGGCGAGGGAAGCTCCCGGGGCCGGGCGCTGTGGCTTTAAAGGCCGGGGCCGGCTCTCGGTTCCCTCCTCCTCTCCCTCCCTCCCTCCATCGCTCGGCGCTGGGCGCCGGGAGGAGGCGCCTGCCGCTAACAAAAGTCGGTGGCGGCCGTTCTCCCCTTCCTCCCTCCCTCCATCCCTCCCCGGGCAACAAGTGGCTGGCGGTGGCTTCCCGGGGGAGGCGGTGGCGGCAGCAGCGGCGGGGCTGTGAGGAGGAGGAGGAGGAAGAAGGCGGAACGGCGCTGAAGGACCGGAGCAGCCCCAGCGCCGGCCGCGGGGCGGTGGAGCAGGCGCCCGGGGGCCGTCCCGCCCGTCCTGCTTGTGGATTATAACTGGAGCCGCCTCCCCTGCCCTGACACCCCGGTTGGAAGCCGGGGCGGGGAAGGCGTCCCGATACATCGTATTTTTGTTTCTTTTCCCCCCATTTTTTTTTTTTTTTAATTTGAGGGGGAAGGGAGGGCGTCGGCCACCCGAGAAGAAGCGGAGGAAATCGCAAGTTTGCTTTGGACATGTCGCCGTGAAAAAGAAAAAAACCCCAAAACTCCTGGAGGCTTTTCCCACCCCCCTCAGCTTTACTACAACCCGGCTCCCACTCCATCATCCGCGGTGGCTCCGCGCCCGCGGTAGAGATGCTGCGCGGCGGCCGAGGGAGGCGGCGGTGAGCATGAAGCCGGCAGGATGGGAGCGAACAATGGCAAGCAGTACGGCAGCGAGGGTGAGTCGGAAAAGGGGTGCTGGGGTAGCAATGGGGGTCCCCCCGGTCTGGG